GATGAATTTACTTATGCCGATCATCATTAGAGCGTCGTAGCGCTAACTCTAATAATCGTAGTGATTTAGCTCCACAATCAATGCAATGGGCAATACGAAGTCGCGATACAGCTCGGTCCTCAGTACGAATGCCAGCTGGTTCCAGTTTAGTTTTTATAGATCCAATGGCATTGCGCCGTTCAACGGTACCAGCAAGTACCGCCGTAGCTGCACCTCCACAAGAACAGCATACTATGGCCACAACATCCAGCAATTTAGCACGTGCATTTGGAATAATTGTTCGCCAAATTTCTGAACTCTTAAGTAGTTTGGCGTATAATATTATGAATGATATTGAAACCTCTTTGAAGATTCAACCCGAAGAAGCCACTCAATTGCAGGTTAGTCGTAGTTTTTTAATTCTTTAATTTAAAAATTAAATTTGAACACCTATAACATTTGTCAATGTCATGTTTCCACACTAATTTAACCAAACTAAATATATTTTGCAATAAAAATATACTTTATATTTAAGGAATTTGTGGAAAAATGTTTTAAAACCTACCTGGGATTGGATGTTTTCTGTAATGGATAGCACTGAAGCCAACTCAAGTTTGGAGCATATTTAACTAATTATACCGATCCTACACATCCTCTGCATCCAGTTAAATTTGACTGCACAGAATAACACAAATCAACAAAACAATAGTGGAAGCAGTACTGCAACTTCTTTCAGGGATTAATTATCATGGGTATGTATATTTTTTATAAATTACTATCATTATTTGTATTAGATATCGATTGATAATCTAAATGTCCGGAATTTTTAATGGCGGCTAAAGAAATTACTTCATAGAACTATATTATTTTCCTTTCTATCGTAATCGTCCACTTTTTATTTAAACAAATTTTAGTACTCAGCTCAATTTTGAGTTATGACAGTCTTGTAGTAAAATGAACGATATGGAGTGATATAAATTATAATTAAGTTTATTTAAAACAAATTTTAGTACTCAGGTTCAGATTTTTTGTATTTCAAAGTACACGTGCTTTTTTGGCATACATAGTAGGGTGATCGATTGTTCGACATTTCCAAAATCTGGTTTTTGTTAACCGGTTTTTATTATAAATAAAAAAAATCAATTTTAATTTGAAAAAATTTATGTTTATGTTTAAATTTGATTAATAAAACATTAGTTTCTCGACTCGAATATTTTTATAATTTAGACGGGCTGTATTATTATTTACTTCAAAATTTAATTTAAGTAACCTTTGAAAACAAAACAAATAAAAGTATTCGAAACCGGTTTTTAAAAGTGAAAAAATCGAGTTATTCGGTATTCGAACAATCATCATTTAGAAAAAACCGACACTGGTAATGCAGAAAAAACCGGTTTTAAAACCGGTTGAAACCCCGAGTCGATCATCGTACATGCATAAATAAAATTCAAATACGTAATTTTAGATATAATTAATCTAGAAATATTATAGTAAACATTTTAACTTAAAATAACTTTATTAAGATTATGATAACTTTCTTTTTATTTCGTAGCCTCTACCTCTCGGCGAGACTTCTTCACATACTGCTTGTCTCTCATGAGAGCTCATACGTCTGAACACCGTGATGCTCTTCCGGTTTTGGATATAACAGCGTTGCGTCATATTGCCTACGTGTTGGATGGATTTATTTATTATATGCGAAATGACACAAACTTCTATGAGAAAAATGAAGGAATTCAAAGTAGCTCCCTTAATGCAAATGAAAATGATGATACTGATGATGAACTGTCTAATATAACAAGTGACGATCCGTATGGAGAAGTTGGGGGAGCGGGTTCATCTCTTAATGTTGCAGGATCATCGGGAACATCTAGGCGTCATGTATTTTCGCAAGATCTGATTCAACTTTGAGTCTCGGTTGTTTAGCTCCTGATGGGTTTGATTTGCCACTTGATGTCGCCATACCATTAGCTGATAACCTCATCTTTTGCAAACCAAATTCTAAAAGGCAAGACTTGTTTGCCAATCTACCTTTAATTGTATCACCTACAGAAAATATGGCCCAGTGCAGTGGCGAATCATCGTCAAATACACTTGACTATCCTCCAACGAAACTAGGATTTTCCTCGTACAGTTCTCGCCGAGCTGCTCAGAGTTCTCCGAATACGTCTATGGAAATAATTAATACAATGGAGGATGATGACATTGAAGATGAAAACGACGAAGTCCACAATGGAACTCAATTACCTAAAGCTACATGTTCAGCTAGTTTTCGCGTTATTTCGGATTCATCGTCTGGTACGGGTTCTCTCGAGTCCAACACTGGTGTAGGAGGAAATGTTTACTTGCAACTAAAAAAAGAAACAATATGCAGACGATCCTAAATCATTGAATGAGAATCAAGAAAAATTGGATGATCAAGATAATATGGATGTGGACAGTGGCAGTGTTAATGATATAATTGAAAAGACACAGACCGATCATTCAAACGCGACCCAGTCTGGTGTTATTGCAACAAGGCCCGATGTTATTATAGTGCCCCAAAAAAACCACTGCGTGGCAATGAATCCGATTTAATGTTACAGTCAAGCAGCACAGGATTTTCGTCATCATCGTCAATGGTACGAAGTGTTATAGTACGAGCTGGTGGTGGAAGTAGTTCCTCATTGAAAATTCAAGACGAAGCGTCTACTTCTCAAAATCTAAAATGCCATACTTATCAGTAGATGATTCAGCAAAGAATATGATAATGGGTCGTTCGGCAAGAATTACATCATTTATGTTTCCCGCTCGAGGTCAACACTTCTGCCAGAAGTTCGATTCAAACGATTCATCTCCCTCGTGGAACTTTTGCTTGGTCGTTGGAAACTTACTCTTGATCTATTTGGCAGAGTCTTCATGGATGATGTGGGCATGGAGCATGGTTCGGTTTTTACCTGAGCTACGCGGTTTTCCTGTAAAAGAAATGCGATTCAGACGTCATATGGAAAAACTCCGTAATGGACAACAACGAGATTTAATCTTCTGTAAATTGGAACGCAATCGTGATAGTTTAATAATTCAACATTCAAAGAATTAAATACTCAGTTTGGTAGTCAGAACAGAAGAGTTCATCCTCCATTAACATTTAATCGAGTAAAAGTGACATTCAAAGATGAGCCTGGCGAAGGCTCTGGAGTGGCGCGTAGTTTTTACACTTCCATATCGGAGGCTCTTCTAGCTAGTTCGAAAATGCCAAATTTAGAATCTGTACAAAGTGGAAATATAAGCGGCAAGTACGGCGTTCCCTTTTCAAGTATTTTACGCAATCGTGGAGCGTCAAGTCGTGATGGTCCCACATTACAAAGGCGTGGTACTGGTAGCAAGATTCTATGGCGTACAGCTCGTGAGAGAAAAGCTCTAAATTATGAAGCTAGACCCTATATCCCAGTATCGAATAATTCAGGTAAAAATATATAATAAAATCGTTATGGTAGAATAAATTTCTAAATTTGAAAAAAATTTCAACAATTTCAGATATTTCTGGAGATAATCCTAATGAACACTTGTCAATGCATTTACAGCAGCTGGGAGAACGTCTCTATCCAAAGGTATTTGTTTGATTTAATACAACACTAGAATCAAATTTGTAAAATAAAATTTCATTTAGATCTATTCCTTGAATACTGCAAATGCTTCCAAAATAACCGGTATGTTGTTGGAAATTCCAACCCCTCAATTACTATCGATCTTGTCATCGGAAGAAATGTTGCGTCAAAAAGTCAACGAAGCTCTGGATATTATAGCATTTAAACAAAAGTCAGAAACAAGCAGCACATCATCTTCGGCTGCTCAGTCGAAAAAAAATGAATCCGGTCGTGCTTCTGGAGCCATGTCACGTAGAAGACAACGATCCACTTTTCTATATGCCAGGAAAACGAGGTTTTTATACTCCTCGTCAAGGTTATGGCTCATTCGAACGCATCAATGCATTCAGAAATATTGGAAGGTATTTATTGTTGAATTATCGTAACTCTTTGGCAAATGTTTTCAACTTTATTTTCCTTATCACATCAGACTTATAGGACTTTGTCTACTACAGAATGAATTGCTACCATTATTTTTGCAACGACATGTGTTAAAATATATTCTCGGTCGAAAAATTAAATTTCATGATTTGGCATTTTTCGATCCATTTATATATGAGTCATTTAGACAACTCATTCAAAATTCTCAGACCGAAGATGGTGAAGAGGCTATCATAAGAATGGAACTATTTTTTGTGTATGTACATGTGGCTTTTAAGTTTTTTTATCTAAAAATTATTATTAAATTACAAATTATATTAAAATACATATTTTGCAATAAACTGTTTCTTATACGCTCTTATACTAAAAATTATAAACTTTAGGATCGATCTAATGAAGGAAGAAGGTGGTGGAAGTGTGGAGTTAATACCTGGAGGTAGGGAAGTTCAAGTCACATCCCAAAATCTGTTTGACTATATCAGACGCTACACGGAATATAGATTAATAAAAGCCCAAGAAAAAGCACTAGAGGTAAAATGATTAAATAATATATTGATGTACATATTAATGTATAAAATAATACATTATTAATTTATTACTTAATTTTAGGCCATCCGAGATGGAGTTTTCGACGTTTTGCCAGATAATTGCATGCAGAGTTTGACAGCGGAGGATTTGCGTTTGCTTTTAAATGGCGTCGGAGACATAAATGTTACAACACTGATATCTTATACAACATTTAATGATGAATCGAGTGAAGGTTCGGATAAACTTTTGAAATTTAAACGCTGGTTCTGGAGTATTGTCGAGAAAATGAACACATTGGAACGACAGGATTTGGTAAGAAGCTATCAAGAAGAAACTATTATTTTCATAAGTTCTTTTTGTTTGAATAATATTTTTATTTTCTTACACTTAAAGGTCTATTTTTGGACGGGATCTCCTGCTTTGCCCGCTTCTGAAGAAGGTTTTCAGCCCTTGCCATCTGTTACCATACGACCAGCGGATGATACCCATTTGCCAACAGCAAACACATGTATATCCAGACTATATATACCCCTTTATTCAAGCAAGTCAATATTGCGTAGCAAGTTGCTATTGGCTATAAAATCCAAGAACTTTGGTTTTGTATAAATGAACAAATATTTTATTTCGCTCTGTTCTTTATTAAATCTCTTTATCTATGTTTATAAAAGAAATGTTTTTAAGATCTGATTTATTCGATTTAATTAAATCTGCTTTAAAGAAAAAGAAAATTAAATTAGCAATGAATAATTTTACACTAAAAGTAACGTGGTGGCAATGTTTGTTTGTACCAGGAATTGTTATTAGAAATTATTTACAACAGCCACAAAATCATTCTCCATTCCTACACATAATTTATCATTAAATTAAGAAATCGGACTTTCGTTGTTTTAACTTTGGTAAATTTATTATATACATAAATATTTTATTATTTTTATTTTGAATACCTAACCCTTGAATTTGTGAAAACATCTGCTATAAATTATGTTTCTGCATATTTAAGGCATGTGTTTTTCTCTTTTTTAGTTATAATAGAATAAATTCTTATTTAAGGATATTTTCCCATTCTTA